TGAAACAGTTGAATGGGAAGGAGAGGGAAGAGATATATAATTAGAATGATAACAGAACAACATCTGTAAGAACTTGAAGAAAGTTTGTGTAAGTGAGAATAAAGGGTTAGTGAAGGCTGGAGATAGGTAGGATAAAGCTACCATTATCTAGTAAATAACCATTAGAATGGTTTATGACAATTAGGAAAGAAAAGCAGTTAACATTTTCCTCACCATTTGGTTCTGCATTTCATTTCTTTTTAATTAATAAAAATAATGCCTTTGTATATCACTGTGGTATTTTCCAAATTGAAAACTATGATGCTTTATTGGATTATGAAATTAATGCAATGAGTTGTGACAAATTAAAAAAATAATCAATTAGAATAGAAAACATTAGAATGTGTTGCCCTCTTGGTAAGTATTGTCTCATAAAGTTTTTATTTAGATATGTATATGTGCACACATATATGTATATATGGACAGATAAGGAGACAACGCATAATGTAACTCTGGGTACTTAGTCACAGTGCTTCTCAAATGTGATGAAATGCACAATGAATATCCCTATTTGCAATGTTCATTTATGATTTGAGGTGAATGATGCAATTTTAAATCATGCACAGTCCATTCTTCTTTACAGATTGGTAGCTATAACACATTATGCTGCCTTCATTGAGACTATGATGCTGAAGCTGAGCTGGGTTATCATCTCTCCTAGTAGGAAGTATGGCATGAAAAGGGAAATTAGGTTACTTTAAGGTTTCTTATAACTGTGATACTTTATATTTTTTATAATTATTTTTAATGTCAAAACTAATATAACTTATAAACACTTATAGTAATAAAATCCAGAAAAATAGGAACCAAATGGGGTGCTAGCAGTTTTTTCATTTTCTTATATATAAACATGTATATATAATCCCAGAAATACACATTCAGAGATACACATATATACATATACACAATCATGTCTTATTGGACATTTACTCATTTTTATTAATTCAGTCATTCAACCAGTACTCATCCAGGGCTTATTTTTGAGTCTGGCACTGTTTTAAGCATCAGTGATTCACTGATGGGATGAAAACAGAGCAGTATTCCTGCATTCAAAAGATGCTATCAACAAATAAAACATAAGCAAGCAAATATATGGTATGTGATGCTGCTGTGGAGAAAAAGTAAATCAAGATAATAGACAAAGGCAGGATGGTATTGCCTTAAAATAATTTTAAACTGAGTGATCAGGGAAGGGGCTTCCCTGGAGGTTCAGAAGGTAAAGAACCCACCTGCAATGCAGGAGACCCAGGTTCAATCCCTGGGTCAGAAAGTCCTCTGGAGAAGGGAATGGCTACCCTCACCAGTATTCTTGCCTGGAGAATCCCATATATATATATGTGTGTGTGTGTGTGTGTGTGTGTGTATACACACATCAGTAATTCAGTATTTATCACTTTTTATACTGTGTTCATCCCACGAAGTTCTCATTCCTACCTCTGGAAAATTAGTGCCATATAACCAGCGACATAGCTAAGACATCACAGACTTCCATAGGCGTTCATTCTGGTCATCTCCAAGGTCCGTCACAAGTCTTTAACCATGAGACCCAATCAATTGCAGGTCCTGTTACCGCCACCCCTTCCTGGTACTTAGGAACATGTCATCAGGCAGTGCTGTCATCCCAAATGACTCTGTAGACCCTGGTTACCTAGAACTTGACTGCACTTGGCAATTGTTGATTCAGGGTGGTGACGTTCACCTAAAGGTGATTTGACCCCTGGGGCCACTTGGCAGTGTCTAAAGGCAGTTTTGGTTTTCACGACTGAGAAAGGAGATACTCCTGGCATTTAGTAGCTAGTAGCCAGGGGTTCTGATAATATCCTCCTGTGCAGTGCGCAGCCCCCATATGGAATTATCAGGCCCCAGTCATCATTGGTGCTGAGGTTAAGAAAGCCTGAGTTGATCCTGCATGGCCAGCCCTGGGCAGGTTCAGAGGCATTAGACCTGGACCCAGGCAGTAGGGCATCTAAGCATCCATCCTGGGCCTGACTCTAGGGACCTCAAGGACTTGATATCTAGAAACATAGCATCTAGTAACAGAGAAAAAGAGACAATGGAAAGGCAAAAATTAATGAAGTCCACACGATTTCTCTTCCTGTGTCAACCTCTAGATTTTTCCCTTTCTGGATATTTGTAGGTAGAAAAAGCAAGGGATATACCTGCCATGGGCTTCCATGGTAGTTCAGATGATAAGGAATCTGCCTGCAATGCAGTAGACCTGGGTTCGATGCCTGGGTCAGGAAGATCCCCTGGAGAAGGGAATGGCTACCCACTCCAGTATCCTTGCCTGGAGAACCCCATGGACAGAGTAGCCTGGTAGGCTACAGTCTATGAGGTTGCAAGAGCTGGACGCGACCTAGTGATGAAACCACCACCACCACAAAGTGTTGTATGGCAAGATTTGAGTTTAATTTTAAGAGATACTAGTCGAACCAATGTTATTAGAGGCATTCAGCATATTGATTTTTTTTTTTTTTTGGTACATTAGATAAAGGAGCATTTCTTTCTAACAGAGGAAATGGCTGTGTTAACTACTATAATGGCTTCCCTCAGCATTGAGAAGTTTGCTATTATTAGAGACCACTAATTATGACTTGCACTTCATACAACATAAGAAAGATATGAAATGTAAGTGTAGTTGAATGGAGAGTAGAAATTGAATGACATCTTACTGCCATTGTAGAAATGTATCTTGGGATTTCATGTGGCTAGGTCTAGTTACAGTGGCCTGCAGAAGTTGAGAAATAGTACAGCAGTTAAGAGTCTATCACAGGCACCATACTGCCTGGACTCCACAAGTTCCAACATGGATAGGTCTTTTGAATTATAAGCATGATATTTTTATGTTGCATACCTCAGTTTCCTCATCTGTAAAATGGGCCTCGCAAGAAACCTCACAAGATTGTTCTGGACAGAGAGTGTATTGCTATGTGTAAAGCACTTGGCACAGAACCGCTCAAACATATTTAGCCACTAGTTTGTTTTTGTAGTTATAGTTCCAGCTCTCAGACATCAGAGACTTTAAAAGACTAAATTGTTTCACATGAAGAGAAAACCATAATACCACCTAATTTCTATTTTGTTTTTGCCACTTATGTAATAAATGAAAGGCATTAGTACAAATAGTGGCCCTCGGTCTTATTGGGAATGAAATACAATCACCAAAAGAAAGCTGATTAGAGTGGTTTGAAGGTGTTACTCAAGCGAAACTTGTCCTCATGTCACTTTTTCGCTGGATGAAAACCAGAGAAACTCTAGTTTTTCTATAAAACAGTGTTCACAAACTTCTAATGAGAAGCCGTTCTTTAATTTATACTTTAATTCAGCAGAACTTGATTAGATTGAAATTAACCAAATTCCGGAGAGACCTGTATACATAAATGATTTTGAAAATGTTATGGATTCTAAACTGGACGTTTTGGGAGGCACAGATAAAGGCTAACAGTTTACATTTAGTATTATTTAACTCTGGCATTCCAATGGGAAAAAAGACAGCTACTTGGTATTGAATAATGGAATTTGTGGGTTTTTTTTTAAGATAATCATATAATGAGTTAGTTAAAAGAGCTAACTTGTAATAGGTTTATTAAATTAAACAATAAAGTTTCATTTCTTGGAAACTACCCATTGTCAAAGTCTTTATAGTTAACTTCATTTACAATGAAATTAAATGAACAAAATATTTCTCTAAAGCTAGACATGGAATTTCTCTTCATTGGGAGGAGTTAGAGATGTCGTGTCAGTAGATCTGGCTATGATCAGACCTCTTAATCCTGTTTTAATTGTGGGTTCTTTGCTACTTCTGATTTTATAGTTGTTATTTTGTGACTGACATTCAGACATTCATGGTAATTTTTAAAATATATAATTCTACATAAGCATCCCTCAAAGTGACCTTAAGATGAGAGTCTCTAAACATAATTATAGAGAGGAAGGAACTACCGACCTAGAATGAGTTGATGGTTTCCAGGGCTATCTCATTTTCAAATTTTTCATTTAAACGCTGGGGCAGAGTTTCACATTTCTGCAAGCTTGGGAGGCATGCAGAAGGGGGCCCTATACACTTTGGCACGTGGACAGCACTCTTCTATGCCTACTCTTATATATTTGAAAACACGATGGACCAAGTATGATTCAGTGTGTGTTTCTCTCTGGAGACCTGACCTCTGATTATGCCTTTTACCACCATACTATGTATTTTTTTTTTTTTTTTTTTTTTTAGAATGGCTAGGCTTGTGGCTAGGTGTCATTTGTCAAAGAGAATATGGATATTTCTGTGCATTATCATTTTTGTTTAGGTTCCAAAACCAGATGCCAACAAGTTATTTTATCCAAAGCAGCAAGCTTAAGGCATGAGTTTTGACAAAGTAAAATTCAATTCAAATCAATTAAGGATCACATCTTTAACTTTAAAAATTAACATTTTTTCCAGTGCTCTGTGTTCTGATGACAATCTTTATCAATGGGATTGCTTCCATGGCAAATGATATGTTTTAAATTATATAAGCCAGATATTCCCCCAAATTGTAGCAGGTTTCTACACTAAGCTCTTCTTTCTTCATCTGTAAAATGAAGGTATTGAGATTATATTATGTCTAATGTCTATTCTAATACTTAAGATTCCCTAGGTAATATCCAGCCTCTTTAATTATTGAGAATATTCTACTGAATTTCCAAGTGTTTTTGAAATGTTTCAAATTGCCTTGACCAAAGATCCTCTCTGTTGACCATCACCAAATATTATTCCCGAGAATTATCCCGTCCACTCCATCCATGTGATGGAGGCTCCTGCAGAGAGAGAAGACTGCCCTCTGCCCACCAGGGGCGGGATTACATCTGTTAAGCAGAGACCCAGGTGTCTTGTCTTGCCAGTTGCATCTGTGTTTGACCATCTGAGAATGTGAATATTGACATTCATCTACTTTCTCCTCCTTCATCCTTTTCGTGTACGCTTCCAACAGAAAGGAGAACCTGACTGTTGTGCATTCTCCCTGGAAACAACTGAGCAACTTACCTTTGAGATCCCGTTGAATGATTCTGGTTCTGCTGGTCTTGGGGTGAGCTTGAAAGGGAACAAATCTCGAGAAACTGGAACAGACCTGGGGATTTTTATCAAGTCCATCATCCATGGAGGTGCTGCTTTTAAGGTAGGTAGGAATGCTGTTTGCCCAACAGTGTAAAGATACTTAGAAACATTAACTGTTCTGCTTGGGGACTGGATAAAGAAAATTTCTGAAGGCTTAAGATCACTGAGGCTTTCTTGCTGGATTCAGGAAATGTATATGTGAACAGATCCGGGTAGCAGTTTGTTTTCATTCTTTATGTTATTTTTATTACTGTTAGGATTCTTGTGAATTTATAACCTAACAAAATTGAACCTAACAATACACAATTAGAAAAGCAAAACTGAAAGCTAGTCAATGTCAAAGCAACAAATAAGAAACTCTACTCCTTGTGCTTGCAAGAATGAAAGCTCAGTGGAGTCTGAGAGAAAGTAGCATAAATTAAAGGTCATTTATCACATTTTATACACTAGAAGATCCATGTTTCTGGGAATGCATATTTGCCTTTGAACTTAGAGAAGCTTATAAATTTCCAGATAAAAAGAGAAGAATATGATCCTGCCCTTTCATACTGGGGTGGGCAAAATGAACATAGCTGTTGCCAAAATTTAATGGTCAACTAGATTTGCCTGAGTTCAAATGCAACCCTACCACCATACACTCCAACTACTACACCATTAATAATAATACCTAGCATATAGGATTCTAAGGATTGAATAAAGTAATATACACAATGGGATCAATGCAGTTAAGTGATTGAGAGAGGGAAAACAAGTTTGTGCTTATTGTCAGCAATCCTGACCATCATCTTTATCATCTCATGCCATGCCGTGAGACTTCTTGAGCTTAAATCCTGCCTTCATTGCTCTCACCCTCAGTGAATGCAGGCAAATCAATTGTTTTTAATGTGCCTCAGTTTCCTCATGTATAAAATGAATAAAATTAGTGGTGTCTGTCCCCTGGTGCTCTTGTGAATACAAAAAGAGACAATGGGTATAAAATGCCTAGCACCATGCCTATGATAAACTTTGAATAAATGTTAGCCATTTAAAGATCATCTTGATATTACTCACGTGTGCCCTCTCCCACTCAAAAGCCAGGAAGGCATAATTAGAGTTTATAGGAGCCCCCCTGGTCCTAGGATTCTGGCTTTATTAAAGCATTTGTCTCCTCAAACTTATCATTTCACTTTTGCTTCAGACCTAGACACTGAGCTAGTGTCTTTTTCTTTGGGGAAGAAAAAATGCATTGGGGATAGACAACCTTTAATGCACTCCTGGATCAGTTAGCTTCTGTTGCATAATAGCGCAATGAAGTAATGACAACATTTCAATAATATACCTCTATAAGCCTTTATTTCCCTGATGGCTCTGCACAGTAACTAAAAGGGCTCTGACTAAGGCTGACCTGTCTCTATCACACAATAGATCTACAGATCTGAGTGTACTCCACATATTATAACTACACCTTGGGCTACCAGGCTAACTGATGGCCAAGACCCATGAAGCCTCCTGACATCTGGTTCCCAAGCTGGCCTACTGTCACTTCTCACACATATTGGTAGCTAAAACAAGTCATATGACTGAATCCAGGGTCAGTCCAAGGGGTAGAAAAATACAGTCCACCCACGGTGAGCCTATGACAAAGGCATGGACCTAGAGAAGTCAGTGAGGAATTGGGGCCATTCATCTAGTCTATGACTCTCTCCGTCAGACTCAGAAATGCAGAACTGGGAGCAGAAGGGTAGTTACTCAATCCTAACTTTTTACGACCACATGAATTATAGCACACCAGGCTTCCCTGTCCTTCACCGTCTCCCAGCGTTTGCTCAAACTCATGTCCATTGAGTTGGAGATGCCATCCAACAATCTCATTCTCTGTCTCCCCCTTCTCCTTCTGCCCTCAATCTTTCTCAACATCAGGGTCTTTTCCCAATTAGCCAGCTCTTTGCATCAGGTGGCCAAAGTATTACAGCTTCAGCTTCAGCATCAGTCCTTCCAGTGAATATTCAGGGTAGATTTCCTTTCATATTGACTGATTTGATCTCCTTGCTGTCCAAGGGAATCTTTAAGGATTCTTGTCCGGCACCACAGTTAGAAAGCATCAGTTTTTCAGCAGTCAGCCTTCTTTATGGAGCAGAAGGAAAATGATCATAATAATTACAGTAACATTATCAACTAACATTCATTCTGTTTTATGCTTAATATCTGTTGGGCAATATAACAAGTATTTTAGGTGGATTCTCTAAATTTATTCTTCACATCCACACTGCATTATTATCATCCCATCTTGTCAAAGAGAAATTACAGTTTTCAGTGGTTAGTGCCTCTCCTTTGTTGACAAGGCCAGAAATCACTTAAACCAAGATGTGAACCTGGGCAGTCTGACTTCAGAGTCTGTGCTTTGCTATCCTGTGATGAAGCCTCTTTGATCTCATCTAATCATACTTTCAGAGATCAGGGTCTGTTGTCCTGGAGTTGTCTTATATCATGTGTATCATCCTGAGCCAGGCCATCTAAACGTGTGCTGTATTTAAGAATGAGTCTTGGTCATGTTTGTGGATACCAGCTTGGCATTATTCTTATTTGTCATGACAGCTCTATTTACAGAATTTATTCCAAGTAAAATTGAAACTGAAATGAATTTTTGGAAATTAAAAGCAAACATCTTAGCTTTTTTATGGGCAATAACTTCAGCTCAAGCAGATATTGGAGAGCAGGTTTAATATGTATATCCATGTTTGTGTAAGTGAGCATCTCCTTACCTAAGCAATTTCTAACAGGCCTGTTTCTTGCAGGAAGATTTCACTTTCCATTTATGTAAATTTCTTTCCTGACACTGGTCTGCTGAGTCAGACAATCACACCATTAAAAACTACTGGACAGCATATTTATAGCTGATCTTAAATAGTAAGAGGCATCCATCATGAATTTAGCCTTATTGTGAATGTTTAGTATCCATTTGTCTTGTTTACTTTCTGCCCTGCAGAGGGTGGAGGCCTAAAGCTTTGCTCACAAGAAATCTGATTAACCAGGAAAGAGGAAACTGTTTTTCTGTTCTCCTTCTGCTGTTCCAATAATCTACTGTTGCTCCTCAGAAAATTGCCACCTGTTCTGTGATTCAGGATTAGGTCTTAGAAAAATTGTTTGGAGACTTTGTCCCCATCTCTGTTCAGAAAATACACGTGTATCAGACCGCTCTGTCCCTGGGGCAGAGAGGAGATAAGCATGGGGAACATCCACTTTAGCATCTGGCCCAAGGTTTTTTACGTGAAATCAACAAAATACTCTTTCCACCAGAGCACACTCTTTTTCTCCTGGCCCTTCCTACCACTAATTGGTTCTCAAGGTGTTTTCCCCTTTAGGGAAGGTAGGTTTTTCAAAATGAAACTACTTTGAAAAGTATGACCACATTCTTCCTGTGGCTTCTCTATGCTGGATTCTCCTGGGGAATTCCGTTGGTATAAACAAAGATAGGCTAGTTCTCAGTTCAGTTCAGTTCAGTTCAGTCGCTCAGTCATATGCAACTCTTTGTGACCCCATGAATCGCAGCACGCCAGGCCTTCTAGTTCTAAGCAGGTGTAAAACCCCTGGATAACTGACTATAATTAAGGGCCTTCTTTTTTTTTTTCTTAACTTTTTATTTTGTTTTATCCTAGATGGCGCTAGTTGTAAAGAACCTACCTGCTAATGCAGGAGCATAAGAGACACAGGTTCAATCCCTGGTTGGGGAAGATCCCCTGGAGCAGGGCATGGCAACCCACTCTAGTATTCTTGCCTGGAGAATCCCATGGACAGAGGAGGCTGGTGGGCTACAGTCCATAGGGTTGCAGGGTCGAACACGACTGAAGTGACTTAATACACAGCACAATAGCCGGTTAACAATATTGTGACAGTTTCAGGTGACCTGCAAAGGGGCTCAGCCATACATATACAAGAGCCTCTTTCTTTTTACCCCCTTACCTCTCTGGCTGTTGCTTTCTATCATTCCATCTCTCATTTGTAGATGTAGTCTGTGGAGTCACTTGTAGACCCCCTCGAAAGCATCCTTTTGAGCTATACTTTTCAATGTATAACCAGAGTGACCATTGACCCTAACAGCCAAATACAGCTTGGAGTGTTGCTACTGAACTGCTCAAACAGTGAAAGTGTGAAAGTGAAAATGTTAGGCGCTCACTCATGTCTGACTCTTTTGTGACCCCATGGACTATAGCCCACCAAGTTCCTCTATCCATGGAATTTTCAAGGCAAGAATACTGAAGTGGGTAGCCATTTCCTTCTCCAAGGGATCTTCCCGAACCCAGGGATCAAAGCCAGGTCACCTGCATTGCAGGCAGATTTTTTACCATCCAAACCACCAGTAACATGCCTTAAATGTTTGAAATTCAATTTTGGTTTCTGTCATTCTTCCTGGGCGTTTGGCCCTGAAATGTAGTATAATTGCTTCCAGAGCCAAATTTATACTAGATACAACTTTGCATGTTGTATGTTTTATATAAACATTCATTTATACATACATACATACATACATATATAGTATACATACATCTCATGAACTGAGAACTATGAGTGGAATGTAATTAGGATTTCATGAGGATGCTTTTCTAAAATTTCATTCTTGTGACTGGAATTTGAATATGGTGTTGTTATCACTGGTAAATGAAACAAAATATTGTCTTTGTACAGTTAGAAAAATTAATAACTGAGAAAAAGACTCTCCCAAAATTTACATAAAAATGAGCTTTTCCTTTTTCCAAAGAAGCACACATAAATCTGGATAATCAGTTTGAAGACCTCACTTACATTCATCCTCATTTGCTAAACATTTTGATTTCAGATATGAGTTTTCTTTTCCTTTGCTTTTGATATACTCTGTTAACTGAATTTTTTTAGAGAAAATGCATTTTTAAGTCTATTAAGTTAGGCTATACTAAATCTGCTTAGTTTTCTTCTTTTTCTATCTTAAAAATGAATTACTTTTAGAAAATATATAACTAGAATGGTGATATTTTTAAAAATTCATGTAGCATATTAAAATCCTTTATTAGGAAGAATAAAAATTCCATACAGTCTGTTCTATCAATA